GTTTTTTTTTTAATTTTAAATGTATTAAATTAAAGTTTTAATGATTCACTAGAAATTGGAAGGTGATAGTTATTCTTTTTTATCATATACTTTTGTCTAAATGAATTATTGTAGTGAATGTATTTTGTTCTAACAGTTTAATTATGCCAGACTGCTTGAAATTACTCATTTTCTAACAGAATAGCATGAATAATATAATACTAATAGCTTTATCTATCAATCTCAATATTGTATAAATGGTTGTTGATAAATTTAATTTAGAAAATTAATCAGTCAATTCACCGCGTAAAAGGAGCGCGATCGCTCTGGCTCTACTGGACGGGCCTGAATGTCAGTTGAGGTGCGCTTTTTATCGCTCACCTCAAGGTCTAAATTGACTCCCCGCAAAGAAAATAATCAGGAAAAATATACCGGTAACAAAAAAATATCGACAATCAACCTGCTTGTTGGATACAATAACAGTCATATTTTAGTGACAATCAGCTATCTGGTTAATAGCACATTTAACGATAATTTTGATAATTCAGTAAAAAACAAAACAAACAAGCTTGCTGGTTATTCATAACAGGTCCAGTAAGTTTCCTTTGTGAAAATAAGCCATATGGCAAATGAAGACATCTCGGTATGGATTGTGAATCTTGGGATTCGCACCGTCTTCGATGCTCGATCTGAACGAATTACAGATAGATATTAAAATAATAATTTTTGGTTTCACTGACCAGTTGTTAGTTAAATTTGAATAGTCTGAATAATCCCCAGAATATCCCAAGAAACAGACATTAATAATAGTAATAGTATATTTTTCTATTAGGATCTCCAATGCTTTTGGATAACACATTAGATGCATCGCCTGGAGTTGGGCCAATAAACCAGCATTGCTAGATTTAGTTTTAAATAGCGTTTTAGTTTTATGCTTTTTTATATGCCCACATTTTCATGTGCGCGAATATTGTCGTCACCCATGTCTGTCCGGACGTCCGGACGTCTGTCTGTCCACAATTTGTTCATGAACACTATACAGGTCACAATTCTTATCTGATTTTGACGAAACTTGAAATATAGGTTTATCTCCAAAAGATCTTGGTTCCTTTCGATTTAGATGAAACTTGAAATGCATAGTTATTACCCAAAGATCTTGGTTCCTTTCGATATTTGCGCATATCGGATCGTAACTTCCTGAATTATGGCCCCTGATTGTACGAAAAATCGTGTTTTTAGCTTGTAGTCCCTCTAAAGGTCACAATTATTATCTGATTTAAAAAAACGTTCGAATATATCACAGTTACAACTTAATGTTGGTTGATTTCAAATTTAGTGAAAATCAGACCAAAACTGTCGGACAAAATGATCGTAAATAGTGTAAATATCTGGTATATCAAGGTTGTGGACCCTCTAGAGGTCACAATTTTCATCTGATTTTGATGAAACTTGAAATGTATGCTCATAACCCAAAGATCTCGGTTCTTTTCGATTATGGCCCCTGATTGTTCTCTGTCCATCTCATGCAAAATGTGGGCGTATCACCGAAGTTGTTGTTTTTTGACATTTTGCCATAATATTAATATTAACAATAATCGTTGGATTATGGCCCCTGATTGTTCTCTGTCCGTCTCTTGCAAAATGTGGGCGTATCACCGAAGTTGTCGTTTTTTGAAATTTTGCCATAATATTAATATTAACAATAATCGTTGGATTATGGCCCCTGATTGTTCTCTGTCCGTCTCTTGCAAAATGTGGCCGTATCACCGAAGTTGTCGTTTTTATACGCCCACATTGAAATTGCTTTTTTATATGCTTGTGGACGCTCTAGAGGCTAAAGTTAATATCCAGTTGACTTTAAATTTATATACAGTGTTTAAGGCCATGAGACAAAGAAGCCTATTGATTTTCAGCGATTTCCGATAATTACTGCCAAAGTTATGGCCCTTGATCACTTCAAAAAATCTTGTGGACGCTCTAGAGGCCAAAGTTAATATCCGATTGACTTTAAATTTATACACAGTGTTTAAGGTCATGAGACGAAGAATCCTATTGATTTTCAGCGATTTCCGATACTTACTGCCAGAGTTATGGCCCTTGATCACTTTAAAAAATCTTGTGGACGCTCTAGAGGCCAAAGTTAATATCCAATTGACTTTAAATTTATACACAGTGTTTAAGGTCGTGAGACGAAGAAGCCTATTGATTTTCAGCGATTTCCGATAATTACTGCCAGAGTTATGGCCCTTGATCACTTCAAAAAATCTTGTGGACGCTCTAGAGGCCAAAGTTAATATTGGATTGACTTTAAATTTTTACACAGTGTTTAAAGTCATGAGACGAAGAAGCCTATTAATTTTCAGCGATTTTCGATAATTACTGCCAGGGTTATGGCCCTTGATCACTTCAAAAAATCTTGTGGACGCTCTAGAGGCCAAAGTTAATATCGGATTGACTTTAAATTTATACACAGTGTTTAAGGTCATGAGACGAAGAAACCTATTGATTTTCAGCAATTTCCCGTAATTACTGCCAGAGTTATGGCCCTTGATCACTTCAAAAACTCTTGTGGACGCTCTAGAGGCCAAAGTTAATATCCGATTGACTTTAAATTTATACACAGTGTTTAAGGTCATGAGACGAAGAAGTCTATTGATTTTCAGCGATTTCCGATAATTACTGCCAGAGTTATGGCCCTTGATCACTTTGAAAAATCTTGTGGACGCTCTAGATGCTAAAGTTAATATCCGATTGACTTTAAATTTATACACAGTGTTTGAGGCCATGAGATGAACGATGATTTTCAACGATTTCGGATAATTACTGCCAGAATTATGGCCCTTGATCACTTTGAAAAATCTTGTGACACTCTAGAGGCTAAAGTTATCATCCGATTGACTTCAGATTGATACACAGAGTTTAAAGTCTTGAGACGAACAAGTATATTGATTTTCAATGAATCTTTATGACTTGAAACAGCTAAATCCATGATGTTAAAAGTTAGCATGGGACAGAACTTTATAAAAAACAAACAAATTCTAATCGTTTTCTGATAATTACTTAATGAGTTGTTACTCTTAATCAGATTTTAATGTATTATAAATGTTTCATTACCGAACAAACTCAAAATATGCGACAACTCTTGTTGACTGCCCGGACGATATAGCTGCTGTGGGCGTATGTTTCGTTGCCTGGCAACCTATCTTTTGAAATTTTGCCATAATATTAATATTAACAATAATCGTCGGATTATGGCCCCTGATTGTTCTCTGTCCATCTCTTGCAAAATGTGGGCGTATCACCGAAGTTGTCGTTTTTTGAAATTTTGCCATAATATTAATATTAACAATAATCGTCGGATTGTAATATTTGATACATTTTGACATATCCGGAGACACGTAATATTATCAATAATCTTCGGATTGTAATATTTGATACATTTTGACATAGCCGGAGACAAGGCACAGAGCTACAGTTCTTTAGGGGTTTTTTATTTTTAATAAATCTTTGGAGATATTAGGCGCCAAATTTTGAAAATTAAAATTTTTATGAAAATCTTTTTTATTAATGAATATTTTTTTATGGCATTTTACCCAGGGTTAAAGAATCATCTGATTAGAGCAAAATGTGAACATTTTTTTTTTTCTTGATAATTTTCTGTGTCTTCTATTGGCTAATTCAGTTTATGGGTTCTAGATTCATTATTTATTGCCCGATTTGTATGAAACAAAGTTTATATGCACCATGGTGCAAATTCTCAATTTTGTTTATTACCGGTAAAGTTTTCTATCGGCATCGGATGTGGCGCAATTTTGCTAAAAACTCTTAATTTTGACGAGAAGGAACGTCTTTTCTCTAGGAAATATTAATTTTTGCAAATCTGATAGATCAAGCAAGATAAATGCCCCTACAAAAGGCGCAAAAAAAGTTTTTTTAATTTCAGTTTTGTTTTTTGTGCCATTTCGATTTAAAGGTGAAAAAAGTTGAAACAAATCCACTATTCACAACCCATTCAAGCATTTCATATTTTGATATATTTCTTCGCAACTTTCATAAACTTGTAGCATTAATCCATACAAAGACAATGTATGTGAAAATTAGTTTGTTGAGCAGTTGCCGAGAAATAGGCAATTTTGCATGAGTCACTTTTCATATTATTTTGCCTTGTTATTGGATGTTCATAAAAATGACACCATTTGATGCTCAATACCCCTTTTGATTAGTTCAAACCAATTTAACATTGTCACTGTCACCGGAAGTGATGCCATTTTGTCAAAAACTGTATTTTTAACCTTTAAAATCAATATTTTTTTCAACTAAGAATTATTTAAACATACATTAATAGCTAAATCTGTCTATTGTAGATCTTTCTTTAGGCCTGAAATGTTATTTTTATCCTGCGCCGAACGAAGTTAGGAAGGGATATTGAAATGGGGTCCATCCGTCCGTCCGATTTCGTTTCCGGAGGATATCTCATAAACCGTTCAAGATATCAAGGTTGTGGACCCAATAGAGGTCACAATTTTGATCAGATTTTGTTGAAACTTAAAATGTAAGTTTATAACCCAAAGATCTCGGTTCCTTTCGATATTCACGCCTATCGGACCGTAACTTCCTGAAAAATCACGTTTTTAGCTTGTGGACCCTATAGAGGTCATAATTTTTATCTGATTTAAAAAAACGTATTATTATATCACCGTTACACCCTAAGGACCGCCAAAATGGCCGCCCCTCGTTCTCAAATATCGTAAAAATATGGTATATCAAGGTTGTGGACCCTATAGAGGTCACAATTTTTATCCGATTTTGTTGAAACTTTAAATGTAAGTTTATAACCCAAAGATCTCTGTTCCTTTCGTTATTTGCGCATATCGAATTGTAATTTCCTGAATTATGGCCCTTGATTGTAGGAAAAATCACTTTCTTTTTAACTTGTTCTCTATCCATCTCTCGAAAATGTGGGCGTATCCTGCCTGGCAGCCGCTGGTCAACAATTAAATGTACCAATTTTTTTTTTTAAGTGAGTGCATTGAAGAGTCAGCAGACATCTTGTATAAAACCAAACTATAGTGAATACAGTGGTACAACTACTACACCACCTACTATAACATTGACTACTAGTGGTCAGCCTGATACTACTATACTACATAAAACTCTCCCACCTACTAGTGGTCAACCAGATACTACTATACTACATAAAATATCAACTAGAACCTCAAACACATCACTTACTACCCCACGGTCAGAAACTCCCAAAACAAATACAACAGTTTATCCTAGTACTAAATGTTCTAGATCAGATGTTACTAGAAACCGACCAGCAACTACATCAAGTAGAAAGACACCTCCAATAGGTACATCTAGTCTAACTGGTACCTCTTCACCAACACCTAACCGAAAATCAATTGGTTCTGAATCAAAACCCACAAAAGCTCTAGCTACATTGAGTAAGGGTACTCCTATAAGAACTGTACCATTAGATACAGGTTCACCTAAACCAGGTTTAAGTCTAATGCCATCAACATCAGCTAGAATACGACGACATTCTGGAGAAGGTTGTTCACCTAGTTCATCAGTAACTAAACCTAGTAGTAAAACTGAGAAAAGAAGTTCTTCTATGTCAGTAACACCCAGAAAATCTAATGATAAAAGTGACGTAAATTCTGATAGAACACCACGATTTGTTTAATTAAGTTGTAGTTTATATATATTTATTATAGGCAGCATGATAGAAATAGTTAAATGCTATATACTTATATAACAATTTTTCATATATTACCTGTAATATTAATATGTATTTTATTTTACTAAATGTGCAAAGTTATATATATATAATTATATGAAGAGCCCCGGGGAAGAACGATCTAAGTCACTTTTTCAACAAACCCCAGTTAATGGTGCCATCTGGTAGCAAATTGTATAAGCTTTCTGTGGAACAATCAATTTCAGGTAAAAACGATCGGAGTTGCTTCGAACCAAGGCCCTTCTGAAATGGCCTCCCGGACAAATACGTTTATTGTACCCTATATTTGACCTTAATTTGGCTGAAAAGTGGAAATGGAAGTCACTTGTTGTACTGGTAATTATGATTCGTTTTGAAGTTGTAATTAAACCCACTCGTTGTTCTGTTCGCACCAAGCATTCTCGTCCCAAATTCTGTTTTGCCTTTTATGCGAAAAGACAAAAATGTGACTTAGATCGTTCTTCTCCTGGACTCTTCATATATATACACACAAGTTATTAAATAGAATTTAAAATTGATGTTTTAGGTTGTGTTAAAAAGAGTTTTTAATTTTTAGATCACACACAATGATTAATGTTGTGAATTGTTTACTTGTTAAAATAGAGAAATCATTACCATTGTTACATCTTAGGTAATCAAGATGCTGAATAGTTCAATAGGATCAGGTGTTGTCTGACACAGGAAGGCAAGCTAGGGTACAGAGATACACTGGTAGTGCTATTTGGTGTTATTTATAAATAAACTATAAACATACTTATGGAAAACAGCTACTGATTTATTTAGGCGACGCTTCGAAGAGTATTCTCTCAACATTTTCAAGCTAATACAATATAACAAAATTTGAAGCACCATATATAGACTTGACAATCAAGACTGTCTCGATTCCATTTCATCGTTAAATTTTAAAATCTTGCAAGTGTTCTAATCCATCTGATGGTCTAGAGAATTGATTAAGCTTGTCATGTTAATAAATGTCTAAATAATAATTTAATAATATGTAACATTTATAGCCAAAAGAAAGACTTGCAAGAGGCAGATTTAGCACTTACATTATGCATCTTGAATTAGTCTTAACCAGGTTTGGGTGGTGGGGGGGCATTCACATTAGGTCATAAGGTCAGTCATTGAGTCTAGTGGCATGGTTTCGATCCCACACATGTACTCGACAAGGAGTAGGGTAGGTTTTCTTTGGTTTCCTCACAGGCTCATGTACTGCCATACATATCACCGTAAAACCTATTAACTATGTTATCCTACCTCTAAATCATGACTATTAACCAAAACCTGGCAGACAATATTAATTCAAACCCTCTTCGTCCATTCTTGACCAAAAATGGACATACAAAAAAGGGAGAAAAGAGAGAGAGAATTGCTATAAATAGACGGTTAGATCTACTGGATAAGGCCAATTTCAAGTTTGTTCAAAGGTCAAGAGATGTAAGCAGGGCTAGCGGTAATCCCAACCTTAACCCAGACCAAAAACATCAACTTTTAAACACTGGACTGAAAGTAAGCTGAAAGAAAGATATCCACGGACAATATGATAATTATATTCTTGACGGCCCTTACATGGGATACACATTTCACGTCATTTACCAGAGTTATCTACAATGCATCGCTACGACGTTTATGCATATTTTTTCACTCGTAAACAACTTTGTCGGCACGAAAAAGGTCAAAGGTGAAATTGAAAATTTTAAATGTTTCAAATAACAAAAATTCGACCATGCACCCATATATTAATTTCAGAAATAGGAGACGAATTCAACAAACTACAGTCAATTGTGTTTATTTACAAGCCCGTTAATGTAGACTTTTCACCGTTTTCCATATTCAACTCAAAATTGTGAGTATCAGTTGACCTAAATCAAAATTCTACTTGGACGATTTTTTAGGCATTCCTGCAAGGATTCAGAAAATATAACTACCATAGCTGTAAGTAAAATATCACAAAAGCCTTAGGGATTTTTCACGTTTCAAGATGGTGGCACTTCTGGTTTGATCGACAAACTCCATATTTTGTGAACTCATCCGTAATTTCTTAACTAGTGCAGAAAAAAAATTTCAAGGCAATCTGACCTATATTTCGTCGATTTCTTTTTGAAAACTTTGATCCTTAAATTCTCCAAGGGGAGATAAGTTAGAAAATTTCTAAAGTCATTTTTCAAGTCGCATCAGCAAGATCTACTTACATACTAAATTTCATGAAAATCGAGAAACTATTAAAGAAGTTGTCAAGTTGGTCTCAACTTCCGGTTCAAAATCACAGTGACGAATTTTCGAAATTCGAAAATCTGAAATTGCAGATGAAAATGATTTTTTTCAAGGTACTAAAAGAAAATAGAATTAGTAAAATCGGTCAAAAAACCACATACTTTTTTTTTTATTCGTAAAATTTGGTGATTTCAAATTCGTAAAATGTTTTGAAAATATATTCAATCAACAGCCACCAGCCATTTTTGGGGGAACAGGTCAAAGTTTCAGAAAGATCCTATCTTTAGATTCGGAGAAATCCGATTTGTGGACAAAACACAAAAAAAAAAAATAATAATCTTAAAAGAAACAATAAGCTTTCATATGTAATACATATGAAAGCTTAATTATATAGTAATTGGTGTAATCTGTGGCCACCAGTACAGAAACTGAACTTAATACTTGAAGGGGTGTATATGGATTATACTAGTATTTATTATAATATTGTGTATATTAAACCATGTGTGATTCATATTTAACATTTGTATAGTTAAGATGATGTTTATCTAGTTCTCCATTATAGGATTGTAAATATAAATTAGACTAAAGTTACTTTTACTTAATAATGCAATAAATAATACACTTTCTTGTGGTGAAGATTATGTTGCAGACAAATTTACAACTCACATTTTTGTTTTGGAAATAGTAATCAACTTTTGTTTATTAAAACAAGAAGACTCAATTTATCTGTAGAGAACACAAAGTAAATGAAAGAAAATTGTTTTGATCCCTCTAGCTCTATAATCTTTCTGATATAACCCATCAGTATGATCAATATTTACCCTCTTCTCAATTCAGACATTCAAAGTATACTCTTCCAAAAAAGTAGGGGATATTGAAATGCAAATACCTATGCAGGTTGTGATATGATAAATAGTCATGGACACTTGACATGCTTTGAGAGTATGTTCACAGATGAAGAACTTATCGCCCCAACAGAACCACTGAGCTGCACCTGCGACAATGAGGGTTTCATTGTTAAATTTGACACTTCAAGGAAGGGATGATGAAAACTGCCGCATGCTGGTCTATCCTAACCATGTTTGCTTTCCTATCGGTTCTTGCATAAGATTTACTGTTTAGCATATCTTTGCTTCAGTGTGTTTAATTTGCAATGAGACGTCTTCAACATGATGATAGACCTCGTTCAGGTCGTCCCAGAGCCATACCACAAGCCCAGGATCGATACATTCGTACACAGGTCCTGCGAAATCGAGGACAAACGGCCAATCAGCTTTCTGTAAACTTGTACCAAGTTACAGGAATTCGAGTTACACCACAAACGATTAGAAATCGGCTACATGCAGCCCATTTGCATGCACGAAGACCGCATGTTGTGCCTCCATTAACTTGCCAGCACATGGCAAACAGGCGTCAATGGTGTAGGCAGCGTAGAAATTGGGGTAATTGTTGATGGGCGCGTGTAATGAGTCCAGATTTACTGTGGATTTCACTGATAGGTGTGCTCGCGTTTGGAGGCGTTAACGTCGGACAGCATGACCGGTTCGGGAGTGGGTCTGTTATAGTGTGGGGAGGAATCACCATGACTGGCAGAATGGACTTGCATATTGTTCAAGTAAGGGTCACTGGTGTGTACTAGCATGACCACATCCTGGCACCGATAGTCCTGCCCTTTGCTCAACGTGCAGGTCGATGTTTCCTCTTTCAAGATGATAATGCCCTTGCCCACCGTGATCCTGTCGTGAATGACTACCTCCAGCGTCACCATATTGTCCATATTCCTTGGCCAGTCATGACACCTGACCTTTCCCCTATAGAGCACTGCAAGAAGAGTGGGTCGGATTGTCCCAAATCGTGATTGGACTGACGGTTGATTAGGAGCATGCCACGATGAATTGCTGAATGTCTGAGGATTGGCGGAGCAATTACTCATTATTAAGACAAAAATCAAAAAACGTCCATTTTCACTTTTGACAGTGTATCTCTTCGCGAGTGAAATGGGGCTGTCAGATAAGCCGCCTATATGAACTGTTTATGTTCATGTGTAGGCAATTGGCCTGTTATTAACATACACTGGTTACCTCTAATAAAAACAACAGTGCATTTCTGCAGTTTTGTATTGTTTCTGAATATTCCTTACTTTTTTTGGAGAGTATATATGAAAGTAATAGGGATTGCATGAATTATTATAGTAAAGCTATTAACATTGTCAACATATATCAAAATTTACTATTTGTTTTGAAGATCTGCTTATCAAAATTATTATTTGTTTCATCCTGGTAATATTTTTTATCATTGTATGTATTTTATGTAATTTTACCTTTATATAAATTTTATGTACATTTTCTAGTCAATAGCATTTTCAACATACAGTCTATGTATTTCTCTACATCATAAAGTAATAGGTAAAGAAATTACTAACTAGTAAAAATACTGTTATTTATCTGCTTTACTCTTTTATACATTTAAAGGATAATATCAACAGACATTTACATGTACACAAATAAATTCATAAAAGCTTGATGTATTTTGTTGCCACATTTTGTTTTTGTAGTATAGCCTTTTGATTGGTCAAGACTTTGGAACATAACAACTCTGCTTTTAATTGAGGTAGAATTAGGGGTGTCACGATTATGAGATTATTTCACTTCTGTGACGTCATTTTTGGTTGGGGTTTGTCTGATTTCCAAAATGGCCGCCAGAATTTGACGAAAAATTAATTTCCAGATAGTATGGGTGATTATCACGCAAGGTATGGCTTGTAATATATCATATATAAGGTATTTTAGTAATTGAACTGAAAAAATAATCTCTAAAACTAGTTTCCCCAAATCCAAGATGGCGGAAATTCAAAATGGCGGCCAAAATTTACCTAAAATGGCTGATTTGTCAGATAAAAGTCATTTCACTCTTTGATATGATTTATAATATGTAATTTAAAGGATTTTCAGTGTCACTAAACTTAAAATTAATCTAAATATAACAGGGTTCCAAAATCCAAGATGGCGGAAATTCAAAATGGCGGCCAAAATTTCCCTAAAATGGTCGATTTTTCGGATAATCGTCATTTTTAAGTTTGATATGGCGAGTGATATGCGATTTAAAGGGTTTTCTGTGTCACTGAACTTAAATACAACCTCAAAAGAAGAGTTTCCAAAATCCAAGATGGTTGAAAATCCAAAATGGCGACCAGAATTTCCCTAAAATGAACGATTTTTCAGATAATGGTCATTTTTTCGGTTTGGTATGGCTTGTAATAATGTCCTTTATTAGGTTTTCAAAGTCCACGAATTTGAAAATAACCTCAAAAATGAATTTTGAAAATGAATATTACCTCAAAAATGAATTTTGAAAATGAATATTACATCAAAAATGAATTTTGAAGATGGTAGATGATTGCTTAAAAATACAACAGGACAATCGTGAATTTTCCTCTTGGATTGGCTTGTAATAGCAAAGAGTAGTAGTTATTTTGATGGTAACTGGAACTGTTATACTGGATCTCACATAAACAAGATTTAATATTATTCCAGCAAAACAGTGAGGTATATATATCCAGTTGTTAAGAATTTATCTATTGTTTATTCAGAAATGGTTCGAAACAGTGGTTCAGTGAGTAAGACTCGCTAAGAACGAGATCTGGGGTTCGATCCCTATGTTTGCTGAAAAAGTACCTTAGGATTTTCCAGTGTGGTTTCTCCTTGTCAGGATGCAGCACCGGGGGCTTCTCGAGAAACCAGGTTTATATGTACACGTTGACGTGCGCATACAAGAACCCTAGACAGTTGGAATTCGAAATAAGAGTACACCATAGTACCACTGTCTGGGCCAATTTTCCTCATAGCACACTGCTTGACGAATATCAATATTTATTAACTTTTGTTCAGAAGACTTATGTCCGGAAACCGTTTGTGGTATCATCTAGACAGATGAATTCATATTTGTCAGTCATGTATTTCATAAAGTGAAAAGTGTAAAATGAATCATCGAAGTCTCTGTGTCCGGCAACTTGTGTGGTATAGTCTAAATATGGTATCCACAGATCATTTTCGTCTGTAATGTAATGCACACTAAGTTCTAAGTTTAAAAATAATCATCACGAAAATAATTGGAAATGCATTTACGACTAGGTATCCCAAAAGTCATCCCCCACGATTTCCTCTTTTCTTATGTATTGTTCTTACATGTAGAACTTGTTGTGAAATACGTCACTGACGAAAATGACCTGTGGATACAACATCTAGACTATACCACAAAAGTTACTGGACACGGAGTCTTCGATGCAAAAACGGACCACATTACCATTTCTGAACGAATAGGAGAACTTAAATTCTTAATGACTGGATATACCACAAATGATTTTCACTCTGGTAAAATGGTGCAAAGACAAAGGAGATGAAATTAAAAATGCGTCAGTTGGCCCCGTTGTATTGTAATGGGGTGGGGGTGGAGAGTCGGATTAACCAGATATTTTCTCCAAAGAATGTGTCAATTCTTAACATTATCATTAGCATCATATGTTTTTATGCATAAAACAATTAAGCTACATTTATTGTGTCTTAAGGTTAAATTCTTTGAAATTCTAATTAGCTGATTGGTAAGTTCTGCACATGGTTTATTTATTGACAGGTAGATTCCTGGGTCAGGTCAAATTAAGTTGCCCTAAAAAAAACTATTACAATTTGCTATTATAAACCAATCCAAGAGAAAGATTGATGATTGTCCCTTTTTTTTCTGAAACAATCATCTTCAATTATCAAATTCAGAGAGAAAGAGAGAGAAATGGGGTTTAACGTCCACTCGACACAAACTAGGTCATTTCGGGACTAACAGATGGTTTAATTGTATTTAGATAATTCGCTTGTGCGTAGGGGTCTTTAGCAGTGGGAGGAAACCGGAGGACCCGGAGAAAACCCACGAGGTTGGACAGGCGACCCTACTCCTTGCCACATACAACCGGGGATTCAAAATCACGCCAGTCGACTCAATGACAGACTTTATGATACAGCGCGCACGCTAACCATTCAGCCATCCAACCCCCCTATCAAATTCAGTGACTCTGAAAACTTAATAGAGGACATATTACAAGCCATATCAAACAGAAAATTGACGATTATCTTAAAAATTGATCAATTTAGAGAAAATCTGGCCGCCATTTTTTAATTTCCGCCATCTTGGATTTTGGAAACTCTATTTTAGATTGATTTTAAGTTCAATGACATTGAAAACCCTTTAAATTGCGTATTACAAACCATATCAAAGAGTGAAATGACTTTTATCTGACAAATCGGCCATTTTAGATAAATTTTGGTCGACATTTTGAATTTCCGCTATCTTGGATTTTGAAAACTCTTTTTTTCTTTAGATTAAGATAAGTTCTGCACATGGTTAATTTATTGACAGGTAGATTCCTGGGTCAGGTCAAATTCAGTTGCCCTAAAAAAAACTATTACAATTTGCTATTATAAACCAATCCAATAGAAAGATTGATGATTGTCCCTTTTTTTTCTGAAACAATCATCTACAATTATCAAATTCAGTGACTCTGAAAACTTAATAGAGGACATATTACAAGCCATATCAAACAGAAAATTGACGATTATCTTAAAAATTGATCAATTTAGAGAAAATCTGGCCGCCCTTTTTTAATTTCCGCCATCTTGGATTTTGGAAACTCTATTTTAGATTGATTTTTAAGTTCAATGACATTGAAAACCCTTTAAATTACGTATTACAAACCATATCAAAGAGTGAAATGACCTTTATCTGACAAATCGGCCATTTAAGATAAATTTTGGTCGACATTTTGAATTTCCGCCATCTTGGATTTTGAAAACTCTTTTTTTCTTTAGATTAATTTTAAGTTCAGTGACAGTGAAACCCCTTTAGATTACAAACCAAATCAAACTGTGAAATGACTTTAATCTGACAAATCGGCCATTTTAGGTAAATTTTAGCCGCCATTTTGGATTTGGGGAAACTAGTTTTAGAGATTATTTTTCAGTTCAATTACAACAAAAACCTTATATATGATATATTACAAGCCATATTTTGCATGAAAATCACCCATCCTATCTGGAAATTCATTTTACGTCAACTTTTGGCGGCCATTTTGGAAATCAGACAAACCCCAACCGAAAATGACGTCATAGATAAAAAAAAAATTAAAAATCGTGTTCAGCTAGCAATTTCGCCTCTGGAAATTGCTGGCCTGAAATGATTTGTAAAAAAAATGTCTTATTGTGACACCCCTAGTAGAATGTTTAAACTTGATGTAGATGTTCATTAAGTGAATGTCTTGACTGAGTTCAATGATTAAACATAAATCTGTCTATTGCAGGTCTTTTTTTAGGCCTGAAATGTTATCTCAATTATTAATTAGACATTAATTAACTTATCCAGACCATAATCAACTCTAGATGGCTGCGATCTTAAGTGGATTGTGATCCGATTTACTGCATAACTTTCCTTCTCGATTAAACGATTAAGTGGATAATCGAGACTTTGTTGTTTAACGTACTGACTTTAGTAATGATGACCGAGGCTAGGCAGAAATTTCATTCGCTTAGTTCTCAGTTCATAGTGGATCAATTTGAATGAAATTTTCAGCAAATTGCCTTTACGTTATCTAGTTTTTATACGCCCACATTGAAATAATTACTGCCAGAGTTATGGCCCTTGATCGCTTCAAAAAATCTTGTGGACGCTCTAGAGGTCAAAGTTAATATCCAATTGACTTTAGATTTATACACAGTGTTTAAGGTCATGAGACAAAGAAGCCTATTGATTTTCAGCGATTTCTGATAATTACTTGCAGAGTTATGACCCTTGATCACTTCAAAAAATCTTGTGGACGGTCTAGAGGAAAAAGTTAATATCCGATTGATTATAAATTTATACAGTGTTTAAGGTTATGAGACGAAGAAGCCTATTGATTTTCAGCGATTTCCGATAATTACTGCCAGAGTTATGGCCCTTGATCGCTTCAAAAAATCTTGTGGACGCTCTAGAGGTCAAAGTTAATATCCGATTGACTTTAAATTTATACACAGTGTTTAAGGTAATGAGACGAAGAAGCCTATTGATTTTCAGCAATTTTCGATAATTAATGACGGAGTTATGGCCCTTGATCACTTCAAAAAAATCTTGTGGACGCTCTAGAGGTCAAAGTTAATATCCGATTGACTTTAAATTTATACACAGTGTTTAAGGTCGTGAGACGAAGAAGCCTGCCAGAGTTATGGCCCTTGATCACTTCAAAAAATCATGTAAATGCTCTAGAGGCTAAAGTTAATATCCAATTGACTTTAAATTGATACAGAGTGTTTGAGGTCATGAGACGAAGAATCATATTGATTTTCAACGATTTCCAATAATTACTGCCACTTTGAAAAATCTTGTGACCCTCTAGAAGCTAAAGTTATCATCTGATTGACTTCAGATTCATACACAGAGTTTAAGGTCTTGAGACGAACAAGTATAATGATTTTCAATGAATTCTTATGACTTGAACAGCTAAATCC